CTTGAAAAACCAAAGAGATTCTCAAGAAAGGATGGAAATGAGGAAAGGGACAAGAATTTCAGAAGAGGACGAAGGTGCTTATATTCAAATACAACTTTATCATTGTAATGTATTAAGAAGTGATCTAGCAGTTTTGTGGGATTTCTGTTCCCGTGTACCTTCCTCACGAATACATATCATTCTAACTTAACTTTGCATCTGTATGTTTACTGATACAGCTAAAAAATAAGCTAAGTTGGACTGAGGCTACCAGTTTACCTGTCTTAAAAGTATTCATACTTTGTAACTTTGTTAACACCTTGCATAGGGATAGATTCTTGTGCACAATTCCTCATCCTAATCTCTCTTGTGCCTCTTCTGTGATCTCCTCCAGCCTTGCCTGTATGTAACCCATCCCCTTCTTCGTGTTTTAACCTTTTTTTAACAAACTGAGTATTTATTTTCTGTAGCAGTGGTCACATTGAATAGTATTCTCAGAAACTGACAGATTTGTGCCAAATTTCATTTATGCATTTGAGATAAAAACATTAAAAAGAGCAGTAGAATGTGTATAGTACTCATTAAGATGGTATAATAAAACATTCACTTAAATTGCATCCAGGCCAAACCAGCAGTATAAACCATCTTTTTTGTTATTTTCTATATTCTGCAACATTCATTAGACTATATGTTTTGGGGAGTAAGGGAGTGTATCTTTTGATCTTTATATGTCTAGTGCCTAATATAGTTCTTGGCATTTTTGTTGAATAAATAAATGAATGATTTGAATAATCAAATATGAATTTACTTGAAATGTTGGTGGGACTTGAATGATGAGGAAAATGCAGAAGAAAGTCTGCCCTTTCTCTTTGTTCACTTTCATTGACTGTGCTGTAAGACCAACCATAGTCTTTTCAGTATTATTTTGGAACTCTTGCTTTTTCATTTGGAAGTAAAAAGCACAAGCAAGAAAGAAAAAAAGTTCATGAATGAGGGCATAATGTGGGAATCTAGGTTTCTAAAGATTAAAGATAAAAACCCATTGGGTTTGGGCGCCTGGGTGGCTCAGTCGGTTAAGCATCTGACTTGATTTAGGCTCAGGGTTGTGAGATCAAGCTCCATGTTGGGCATGGAGCCTACTTAAATAAAAAATGAAAAAATAAAGAACCATGGCAAAACAATTAGTTGAGGGAAAAGCTGCTCTTCTCCAAAAAAAAATCTCTCTTAACTAGGGAAAGACTAGTTAAATGTCAAGCACAGAAAAAATCTAAAAGAGTAAGATCAAAGAATACTTAATTTTTTTTTTAAGATTTTATTTATTTATTTGACAGAAAGAGACACAGCGAGAGAGGGAACACAAGCAGGGGGAGCGGGAGAGGGAGAAGCAGGCTTCCCGCTGAGCAGGGAGCCCGATGCGGGGCTCGATCCCAGGACCCTGAGATTATGTCCTGAACCGAAGGCAGACGCTTAACAACTGAGCCACCCAGGCACCCCAAGAATACTTAATTTTTAAATCCAGTTGTCATTCATCAAACATTTGTGAGTTACTATAACTAACGTGTATTAATATAGCACTTTTACTTACATTATTGCATTTAACACAACTGTGAACCACATACAGAGAGGTAGGAAAATACTGACAACATAAATTTAACATATACAGTATATGAGAGATCCTACCAATCAGTAAGAAATGAAAACTTAGGTTTTTTTCTTCTTTAATTGGCAAAGGATATGAATACAGTTCCCAGAAGAAGAATTCTAAATGGCCAATTAATGGTATTCAAATTCAGTCTCAGGAAAATGTAGACTAAATGAAAATTTGGCTCCTCATTTCACCTATCAGACTGGCAAAAACTTAAATTTTAACAAGTGTGCAAAGAAAGAGACATTTTTAACCATTGGTAGTTAAAAGTTCCAGCATTTTTTTTTTAAGATTTCATTTATTTATTTATTTGAGAGAGAGAGAGAGAGAGAAGGAGCAGGGGGATGGGCAGAGTGAGAGGGAGAAGCAGACTCCCCGCAGAGCAGGGAGCCATCATGGGGCTGGATCCCGGGACTCCCGAGTTCCAGCATTTTTAGATGGCAATTTGATCCACCAAAATCCAAGTATCTACTAACTTTTTTGAGTCTTTGACCAATAATTCCACTTTGATGTGCCCATCCAGTAAAAATATTTTCACATGCATCCAAAGCTATAAGAACAAGTATCACTGAAGTATTGTTTATAATAGCAAAAAAGAATGCAAAAATCTAAATGTATATTAATAAGCAAATATTTAATAAATTGTTCTACCCTAAATGTTGTACAACTGTTGAGGTCAAGTAAAGTAAAAATCCTACATGAATAGATTGCTAAGATACAGTGTTAAAAGGCCATTTTATAAAACATGTTTACAAATATTTGTGGAGTATATATGCATTTTTATATAAGCTTCTAAGATGCTTAAGGGGTTCTAACAGGATAAATGCCAATTCTTAGTGGTGTTTTGAGAGGGTAGGGCTTTAAGAAAAGATTTAGCTTCTTTAATTCTGTGTATTTCTGTTAGCTTAGTTGTCCCATAAGCATATTTTGCTCTTATGTAATTTTTTTAAAGTTACCCAAAAAGTGCTTGTGATAGATACAGTAAATAAGACAGAAACCAGATCCTTATCTAACTTATATTCAGTTTTTCTCCTATAGTTTACCTCCTTTTCTATGTTAACTTTTTAAAGGTCAGTAATCCTTCATTGTGCATAAGCATTTTCTTTCCATTTAGCAACAAATTAGGAATTGTTATTAAAATAAACTCAACGGGCGCGCCTGGGTAGCACAATTGGTTGAGCATCCGACTCTTGGTTTCAGCTCAGGTCATGATCTCCAGGGTCATGGGATCGAGGCTGGTGTATGGCTCCATGTTCAATGCAGAGTCTGCTTAAGACTCTCTCTCTCCCCATCTCCTTCTGCCCCCCCCCACACACACATACATGCACATGCTTGCTCACTCTCTCAAATAAATAAATAAATCTTAAATAAAATAAATTCAACATATCCTCTTGTAACTGGGAGGCAACATTTTTAATTTCAATTTATGATAATTTAAATGTCTTCAAGTAGTCTAAAATAGGAAATCTTTTGTCTTGACAGAAACTTACCTTAACACAGTGGCCTAACATAAGGATTTTGCATTTACTGGATTTGTTTTTTAAAATTATGCAGGGCATGCATGCTCAAACCAAGACCTGCCAATATAGACGGGCCACCCACTAAGAAGTCCATCCATTGTTCTCATTCTCAGTAACCACTTCTGCCCAAGTGGAAGAAAAGGGGTATTAAGGTAGTCTCACCCCCCCCATGTAGCTTTATGCCAAGCAGAGCTTTGGATTTCTACACTTCTTATTATTATTCTTTCACAGTGGCAGTAACTGGACTAGGTAGGACCAAATGGTTCCAAGCTGTGACATTTGCAAGGGATCCTTGAAAGCTACCACTGAACTGTCCAAACTTTGATAAAAGCGAATGTTCTGGTCTTTTTCTTCCCAGAGTTAGCACTCTAGTTTGGAATGTTGCTTATAAAAGGTTATTATTATGTTTTCTTTTGAACTTTTCATAAGAAGCAGCTTAATAGAAGGTTTTATAGTTATTATGGTATTTCATTTGAAAATATTTTTGAAAATGAGAACTTGCAAGGGATATGAATGTTTCTGTCTAAACTCATTAAACAATACTTCATGCTGATTTCCCGCTTTCTCTCATTTGAGATAATTTTGCTCTATTTAAGACACTTTTTAGACTGAAACAGATCCTTTATATTTTTTAACCTTTCAAGTATCATTGGCAATCTGCATACCAGAGAAATAATTATATAGACTCAGGATTTTAGTATGAGGGTTTTAAAACTTCTTCCATAATTCTGTCTTGCTAACTTAAAGTTGATATGCCTTTCTTGTTTCGTTTACATATTTTACCTTTGATGTCTCTGTGTAAAAGTGGTGCGAGGCGTCGGTTTGAGGAGAAGAGTAACGCTGCTGTGAGAATATTTTTACTTCTTTTTGGTTAGATCTGCCCCCCTGGTGAGATTATCTGTGTCATCATCTGTGCTCATATTTAATGTCTTAGAAAGATAATAAGTTGCTGAGTGTCTACTCTGCCAAGTGTTGAATTAAATGCTATACATGTATTTCTCATTTAACCATCACAGCAATCTTTGGAAATAGAATTATCCTCCCTATTTGGCAGATGAGGCAGCTAAGCCTTGGAAAGGTTAGTTTGCAAAATGCAGAACTGGCTGGTCAACTTTGAATTTAGATTTTTCTCAAAATCCCATGCCCTTAATATCTTCATGTCATGCCATCTCCCAGAACATTCCAGGAGGAAAACTTTCAGTGAAGGCTACAAAAACATTTGCTCATTTCCTCATTTTGTTATTCCTTCATTTTTTTTTCCTTTTCATACTTTTATGATGGAAATGATTATGGAAAATGCAAAAACCACTCATTGAGTGTTTATCTAGCTTTGTAGAAATCTGCTGCTGTCCAAGTGGATGTCATTTGTACCTCTGTCACTATCATTTGTAATTCCCTTGCAGGAAAGGATCCTTGCTGGGTTGGATCCTTCAGTTTGCTTACACTGGAATTTTGGAATTTTGATGCATTGTATTCTTAACATTTCTAATGCCCTGATATCCGAAGTGAAGAGTGTTTTTAATATAAATTCTGCTTATCTAAAATAACAAAATCTTATAACTACAAATCCTAACCACTTTAACCTAAAAATCTTCTATTCGGGGTCATAGCACTGTATGATTTTCTGATGTGTTTCATATTCAGTTTTCCTGGGGTGTAAGTTCTATAGCTTTTGCAGTTTGAGGCTAACGAAAATTTCCAGCAAATACAAAGTAAAGAGTACACACATACTCACCTGAGAGTTTGTTTTGATGCACATGTAGTTTTGGTAATACAAGTGGTTTATATTGGTTTTCCTCTCCCCTATAAACTAGATTTTATTTGGTAGTGATGTGTCTTCTTGTTTGTGTTCAAAGGGCAGCCATTCTACAAAAGTGGAAGCTGTGGTCAGAACTCTGATGAGAATCCAGCTTAGAGACCCAGGCGCTAAAGCACTCGTCTTCTCAACGGTACAGTCAATGTTTTCATCCTGAGTCTTAGCTCACACTGGCTTTCTGTCTCTTATCAGTTTATATCTCAGAACTCGTGTTTAATGTTCACCCTAATATAGTTGAGATTTAGAATTACTGCTAGATTTTCCATGTTCGGTTTTTTTTCTATGTCCATAGGATAGAATTATTTTTAGAGAAATTTGGTGATGTTTTACAAGACAATTTCTATAGCTACATTTCCTGTTAATATGTTTTATGGGGAATTTCTAATATTAATATGTTAAAAATTAGAATCTATAACCTTGAAAGTCTCATTTCACAAGTGAAATTGGTCATTTGAGAAAAAGAAAGTTAAAGTAACCCACTGAATAAAATATCAAGTGAAAATTCTAGTTTTTATTTTTAAAAGGTAAGTAACTATATCCGTTAAGCACTCCATTATTTATTTTCTATTATTTATGTTTATCCTAATTCAGTTCCCAAAGACACCCATGTCTTTTACACTATCTTTAACCAGCATGTGATTTATTTTTTTTTTTAAAGATTTTATTTATTTACTTGAGAGAGAGAGCGCATGAGAGGGGGGGAGGGTCAGAGGGAGAAGCAGACTCCCCGCTAAGCAGGGAGTCCGATGTGGGACTTGATCCCAGGACTCCAGGATCATGACCTGAGCTGAAGGCAGTCGCTTAACCAACTGAGCCACCCAGGCGCCCTAACCAGCATGTGATTTAAAACAAACCAGGGGCGGGGGGGAACCACTTCCATTTTGATAGTATGAAATAATATTGGTGGAACCACATTTGAAGGTTTGTTTTTATATTTTCTTAATTCTGAGGTACAAAGTTATTTAGATTTAGTCCTTTTCAACTCCTTTTTATATGAAAGCTATGTGTAAATACTTGTTTTCTTACTGTTTTATGTGTTCTAGTGGCAAGATGTATTAGATATTATTTCAAAAGCCCTCACTGACAACAACATGGAATTTGCTCAGATCAGTCGTGTTAAGACATTTCAGGTATGTCAAGAAGATTTTTCTTGTTTTTGGGGGCGGGCGGGTTTGGATTCAGTTGCCAATTGAAACTGCTATTCATACCTTACTTGCATTTATTGTCTTGTGTAAGAGTTTCAGTTATTGATTCATTATAAAATTAACATCAAAAGCAAAGTAGCGAAACTGTAATTATTTTCCATCCATTTATACCCATAGCAAGATCATTTTTTTTTTTTAAAGATCTTCTGACTTGAGGTTGTTTGCTTCAATAGAGGAAAAGATAGCCTATGATACACTTGTTGAATGGACAGGGCCCTCATGCTGAAATTAGGTCCTCAAGACACTGCCAGACAAAACTCTATATGGTCAAATTCCTTATGCTACACTCAGCACAACAACAGGCACACACCCTAAGGCACACACCCTAAGAGACAAAAACAGAAAGAAGACCAAGTGAAAATGTAGCAGATTCATGTCTGTGATCTCCTCCTCACTCTGACATACTCTTTCTCATTCTCTCTCTCTTTTCTCCAAGCTCATGTAGTTTAATTTGCATACATCACGCACACGTAACTTGTGCTTCCACTGTATCAGAAAAAAAAAGTTTATGTGACACTTCTCCTCATGAAGTCAGGCAACAAGTTTACATTTTCTAAAATTGGTAATTTTACATTTAATTGTCTTAATTGTTACATTTCACAATGACCTGGATTCTATTAGGCTTTTTAATATGAACTATAATATACTCTTATTTTTAAGTGATCCAACTAAAATTTAAATGTACCTTTCTTTTTTTAGGAGAACCTTTCAGCATTTAAACATGATCCTCAAATCAATATTTTGCTGCTGCCCCTGCACACAGGTTCTAATGGATTAACTATCATTGAAGCAACTCATGTTCTCTTGGTGGAGCCCATATTGAACCCCGCCCATGAGCTTCAAGCCATTGGGAGGGTGCACCGAATTGGACAAACAAAGTAAGGACTAAAATTAGCATCAGTTACATTTGCTTCAAGTTTCTAAGATCCAAGTTGGTATTTAAACTCTTCATTTATGTTCATTATAACCTATTCCTTTTTAATCACTTATTTATTAAGTTTTCAAGTATATGACCAAAAGACATTTTCAGATTTCCAACTCTCCCTCCTCCAAACAGCAAATCCCTGAATTCTCCGAGGTTTTTGTCTTCCCTCCTTCAGTCTACCCTGATCACTTCACCAAAACAGTTTCTTAAAATATTTAAGATAGGGACGCCTGGGTGGCTCAGTTGGTTAAGCGACTGCCTTTGGCTCAGGTCATGATCCTGGAGTCCTGGGATCGAGTCCCACATCGGGCTCCCTGCTCGGCAGGGAGTCTGCTTCTCCCTCTGACCCTCTTCCCTCTCGTGCTCTCTGTCTCTCATTCTCTCTCTCTCTCAAATAAATAAATAAAATCTTAAAAAATATATATATATATTTAAGATAGCTGCAGAGTTGAAGGCATCCATCATGACTTTGAGAAGAATTGATTTTTGATTGTCTAAAGTAGTCTGAATTTAAAAGAAGGCATAACTCATTCATGACTCCTTTTTAAATTCTTCCCCTTAGAAAAAGATAGTCCCTTGGGTCTATTCTAAGAGGTAATTAGATTTAGTTTAGGCCCAGCCTAATACTGGGCCCAAACCTAGTGGTGTATATTGTGTAATATCTACTACTTTTATTCAAATATCAGAATAGACAGTTATCCTTCATAAGACCTCTTAGATGTATTACCTCCTAGATGTTAGCTGCCTTGAATATTTAAAAAAATGCATACTGAGTACTCATTAAATAAATATTGAGTGGCAACTATTTGTCACTCATTATGCTAGATACTGAAGACTCAAACTGAGTAAGACATAATCTGCTCCTCCAAGGAGGTCACTGTGTAGTACAAGAAATATTGCGGTAGAATATGAAAAAATAGAAGTACTATGGTAATAAAGAAGGGAGTGATTGGTTGTGCCTAGAGAGTCAGGGAAGGCTTCATTAGGTTGAGTCTTGAAGGACTAATTATTTCAAAGCTGGGCTGAAAAAGGGTACTCACACAGCCAAAGACAGTTACATGTACAGGAACACAGATAAACACCACGATATTTCCAGGGACTGGGGGGAGTTTGGAATTGCTGGGGTATAGAGTATGTGGAGAGGAGTGACAGGAAATGCCATCTTATATGACGTACTCAAAAAACTGGATTGCTCTCTAAGCAGTTGCCAAGCGAACAAATGAGGACTTTAATTTTCAGCAGAAAAGAGACATGTTCATCAAACAAACCTGTAGCAAAATATGGCAAAGTAACATAACTGTAATAAACGCACTTTTGTTCTAAGTACTATCAAGTGTCATTTAAAATGCAGCTTTATCTTATTTGGTTGGTGTTTGGGGGTTTTTGTTTTGTTTTTTTCTTATATTTTTAAACATTGCTTTCTTATCAGTGTTTTCCAATGCATAGACTGGATTCAGCTGAGATGTAAGACCACAGTCTAAAAAGGCCATTCAACACTACCTGACAATCCTACTATGCTTCCCTAGGAGATAGATTTTTCCACTTTCTGAAGAGACTATCTTAAAAGTCTTCTGTAACCACTGCCCCACCGATGACAGTCTTGCCTCATGTGTAGAAAACAGATGAAGTCCGATTTGAAACATCTCATCTTTTTATCACCAGCTTGAACAGTACAGTCTACCTTCATCAATACCCACATACTTCATTCAGTAAATTTTTATTGAACACCTTCTGAGATGCCCTCATGGAACCTAAATTCTAGTTACGACAGTTGGTAGAGAGACAGATGGTAAATAATAACATAAGTGAAATATATGCTATGTTAGGAGCTGGAAAAGTAGAGCAGGGTAAGGAGGATTAAGAGTGCATTTGGCTAGGGGCTGCTGAGTGGCCCAGTTGGTTAAATGTCCAACTCTTGATCTCAGCTCAGGTCTTGATCTCTCTTTAAAAAAAAAAAGTACATTTGACTGAGCAGGTTAGCATGCAAGATTTTTTTTGAGAGAGGGGGAGAGAAAGAAAGCGGGGTGGGGAGCAGAGGGAGAGGGAGAATCTTAAGCAGGCTCCATGGAGCCCAACGCAGGGCTCCATCTCACAACCCTGAGATCATGACCTGAGCCAAAACTAAGAGTCGGAAGTTTAACCCACTGAGCCACCCAGCATGCAAGATTTTTATGAGGAAGTTAACATCTGACCAAAGACTTGAGAGAGATGAGAAAGCCATGCACACGTCATGGGGAGTAATATTCAAGCAGACAGCACACTCAGTACAAAGACCCTGTCAGGAGTATACCTGGTATGTTTGAGGAATAGCAAGAAGCCAGAGTTGCTGAAGAGGAATAAGCAAAGAGAAGAGAAGTGGGAGATGAAGTCAGAGAGCCAGTAGGAGAGGGGATTTTATAGGGCCTAGGAGGTCACTGAGGACCTTCTTTCACTATGTATGAGATAGGGAGCCAACAGAAGGCTTTGAGCAGAGAAGCAACAAGTCCTAACTTAAGTTTTGAGAGACTCATTCTGAGTGCTCTGTTCAGGACCAGGGGAGTAGAAGCAGGGAGAACAGTTAGGAGGCTGCTGTATAGTCCTGGTAAGAGTTAAAGGTGACTTGGACCATGGTAGCAGCAGTGGAAATGGTGAGAAGTGGTCAGGTTCTGAACATATTTTAAGGGTAGAACCAAAAGTTATTGTGGACAGACTGGACATGGGATGTGAGCAAGTCAAGGTCAATGCCGTGGTTTTTTGACCTAGACAACTAAAAGGATGAAGTAGCCTTCAGCTGAGCTGGGGAAGACTACAGGGTAGAGCAGGTTTGGTGAGGGGAAAACCGAAACTTATTTTAAATAGAAATTTGAGATGTTTATCCGATATTTATTAGACAAATGGAGATAGCTATTCTGTAATTGGACATACAAGTCTCAAATTCAGGAGAAGTCTGTGCTAGAGATACATTTGAAAATCACAGCATAAAAATGGTATTTTTAAGTCGCAGGACTGAGTGAGATGACCTAGGGAGTAGGTGTGGGTAGAGAAGAGGACCAAAGACTGGACTCCAGAGCACACCAAAGTTAAGGGCTGTGGGAGAAGAAGGAACCAGCCAAGGTAACAGATAAAGATCGAACAATGAGTTGGGAAGAAAACCAAAAGAAAGAGGTTCCTGGGAGTCAAGTAAAGAAATGTAAATCAAGAAGGATATGACCAACTATATTTCATGTACTGTTAAAATGTCAAGTAAGATAAAGATTGAGAATTGACCCTTAGATTTAGCAGCATGGAGATCGAAACCAGTTTTGGTAGTGATTTGACTGTAAGAGAGAATAGGGTTTTATTTATTTATTAATAAACACTTACCTAACAGAGAGGGGTTAAGTACCTTGTCCAGGGTCACATAGCTAGCAGAAGTGGTGGCAGGTTTCAAGCATAGCTGCTGCATCCCCAACCCCTCCTTTTAAGCACAGTGCACTGCTGCCTCTGCATCGCTGGCAGGACTCATACTTTGAGCAATTTTGCTGCAAAGAGCAGAGAAAAGGAAGAGCATGAGATCAAGAGGTTTTGTTATTGTTGTTTCCTTTCATGTGGGAGAAATAATGGAGTGATTCATTAGAAACAGAGGGCTAGTGAAGCAAGAGAGAGGAGAGAGTGCCAGAATAATGCTCGAGCGCAAGCCCTGCTTGTAGGAAGGGGTACAGGTATTTCCTCTGTAGCAGTAAGCAGGCTGGCACAGTATGTTCCTTCCCTTTTATTATAGTGGGACAAGTGTCCCTTTTCTTTCAAAAGCCAGCCATTCCACTTGTCATGGGTCCCATCCCTTCTCAAGGACATTCCTCTTGTAAGACATGACCACATAAGTGTGGCTTCATATCGTCTGCCTTTAGAAACACCCCCTCCCTTCCACCTCCACCCCCACATCCTTCCCCCTCCCCCTCAGCCTTCCTGGTTGGGTTTTTGTCCTCACTGTGCCACTGAAATGAGCTTCATAATGTTACTGACCGACTTCTTGCCAGTGGTCCCTGAGGGTTTTGTACTCATCTACACTTCCTAGATGAGCTTATCCAGTTCCAGAGCTTTAAGTAGCATTTATATGTGGATGACTCTCAGACATACGTCCCTGGTCCAGACATGCCCCTTCAGCTCCTGTCTCAGACTCACATACCCAGTTCTGTTGCTTCACACATACCTGGATTCCACCTCCCCTTGGATACCTAGATATGGAAAACTCAGGTTTAACATGGTAAAAGAAAGTGTATTCCTACTGCGGTCCCACCCACCCCCACCCTCCCCATCTTATAATCTGACTCTCTCATCTGTAGTTTCTCAGGCCATAAATCCAGGACTTTCCCATACTTCCTCTCTTCGTGCCACACATCCAAACCATCACTGAAGTCTTGCCAACTCTACCTGCCAAAGATATTCCAGACCGTCTGCTACTTACTGTTTCCAATGATACAACCAGAGCACAGCCCACCCTCTTACCTGGACTCCTATGGAACTCCTTAACTGGCTTCTTGGCCTTCACTTTTGCTACCTAACAGTCCATCCCCCACTCAGCAGCCAAAGGGATGTCTAAAGTATAATCCAGTATTAAGTCAAATCACACATAAAACCCACAGATGGCTTCCCCTCAGTACCACAATAAAATCAGATTCCTGCCTTATCCCTCCAGACCCTACATGATCTGCTCCCTGCCCACTCTCCAGTCTCACTTCTACTCTCTACCCCTCTGTTACAACACACTTCTGCCATGCGAGGCTCCTTTCTGCCCTTCCAACATTTTAAGCTGGTTTCAAGCATGTTCTCTTCCCAAGAGCTTGCATTTATTTATTGTTGCTTCTGTTTGGATGCTCTTTCTGCTTCTTGGCTTAGCAGCCTCGTTCCCATCGGTCATGTTTCAACTCAGATGTTAGCTTCCTTGTGGGGTTATCTGTACCATCCAGTTTATGTGTTTATTATGTCTCCCCTCATTAGAATGTTAGTTCATTAAAACTAGTTTGTTTTATTCACCGCTGACCGCCCCCCTCCCAGCTCCTTGATTAGTATCTGCCACAGTGGGCACCACATGACTGATGAATATAGCGTATAATATGTGAAGTCTTATTTGTTCTAATTGGTTTTAAGATGTTTTTAAACTTATCATTATTATGTACCTTCTAGACCTACTATTGTACACAGATTCTTAATTAAGGCAACAATAGAAGAAAGAATGCAAGCAATGCTGAAAACTGCTGAGAAGAGGTAGGTAACAATCTCCTACAAGCCGATGGGTGTTTCCTGTTTATATAAGGTTATGCACGTGTTTGGGACTTCTTCACTTAGATGACCAGATACTTTTTAAAAGCAAGATAGGACATTTTACCTATCTACAATTTCCCAGTTAATGCTCTAGACATCCTATATTTGATTTCATTTATTAATAGGGATTGTAAAGTTTAAAAATATTTAAACTGCCCTACATTTCTTTGCCATATTGGATTACTTTTTAAAGAAATCTATCTTTATGCCCACGCTAAAAGCCTTAGTCTGATATCTGTAAAAGGAAACTTACAGTGTGGCTTTATACATCACACCTGTTAGTCACATGCACATAGGAAGATCTGGACTTAAAACTCAGCTGATGATTTTGATATTCGTTCCAAAGGCAGAACAGGAGCAGAGAGACCAGAGTAGCCTTAATTTTAAAAACTTAACTTTAGAATTATAAAACTTTCTAATATTTATTCCATAATTTTCTTCCAAGTCATTTTGCAAACATAAACCAATGCTTTACCACATCCTTACAAGATAGGTATGGTTGGCAGATACAGAGGAATGATTTCCTTGGGGGGATGTCTCTACAGAGGCACTGTGCATAGCAAAGAAGCAATTTGAAACCAGAAATCTCCTTCCATTTGTGGTTTATGGGAAGGAAAGAGTCTACCATGAAAGCTGTTTTCATCAGACATCAAGGTTTTTTATTGTTGATGTTTCCATGTGTAACAGGATTCAGCGATTATAGTTAAGCTGCTTAAATAAAATAGCATTTAGAAGAGCTATTGAAATTCTCTTGAAATACACTAACTTTGGGAAGTAAGAAATTCTAAGGTGAGAGCTTTAGCAGTAGGTGGCATGGGTTTTGTTTGTTTTAGGAATTGTGGAGAGAAAAGACATTTTATAACAAAGCCTAAAAGTGCTGTACAGAAGTCTTCACTAATTTTGACAAGATCTAACAATGATCCTATCACTGACTTTGTTCTTGGAGGTTCTTGTGGCTCACTTACAAACACTGATGAGGATATATGTTTTTATAAGAATATTCTTATATCATCATGTCTTAGTATTATTATAGGACAAGAGCAAAATATAACACAAATGTAATCATTTATTCCTTGATTTCTTTCTGACTCTACTCACTTGGAAAATGCTACAGTCACACGAACTCATCGGTGAAGCATCCAGAGGCCTCCGTCTTAACCTTGGCTGATCTGGCAGACCTGTTTACCAAAGAAACTGAAGAACTTGAATGAATTACACTTGGTTCAATCCAGACTTTAATGTATTTAAATTTTTCATAGCTTATAGAGCAAAGTTATAAGTAAAAAATCCAGTAGATGTCAGTAAATACTGTTCTTCATTGAATGAATTTCTTTCTTTTTTTTAAGTTGTACGGCGTCCTAGTAGTTACTGAGTTCTTTCCAATTATCTTGTTTCCAAAAGATCTATAAAGATTTTTAATTTTACACTCCTAATAGAACATTTATTTTGTCCCAAAGAATATCTATATCTGATGAGGCAAGGGAATTAAGAGAGGTAATGTGTACTTTTCTTTTGATAAGATCAGTCTTAAAAAGAGTTGAAGTAAGGGAGAGAGTAAACTGGTCTAGTTTCATACCACCTAGTATATTTGACCCACTTAAACTCAGTTTTGGAAGGGCCTTCAGTTTCTTTAGCACATGATTCACCAGTACCTTGGTAGTAATATTTTAAGTAGATGGTGAATTATATTAACTCCTAGTTATTTGAGTAGTTTTAGATTATAACTCCATGCATAGTAACTTTACAGTAATACAATTCCTAATAATAAGTTAATATTAGACAAGTATTTATTTTCTCTGTATGTTGGTACTAAAAATTGAAACATTGAACACTTTTCTTATTTCTATGATGTGTTTAAGTAATGTCAGTGTAAGCAGTGAACTTTAAATAGCATTTTAAGTGTATTCATGTTTATCATAAAATTATCTAAACTGCTTTCTCTAATTTTCCTTATTGTTTTTACATAATTTAAGATTGATGTATCTGTAAATATTGCAATTTTTGTAATTTTAGTTCTTACTCATTATAACATGCAGGTATGACAGGGTTTTGCTTTTTTTTTTTTTTTTTTAATCATTATTGTACTGATGTCTTGGATTCTTTTCCTTTCCCATGTTCTTCAGAAACTAGACTTTTAACCACTGGTATCTAAATCTGTGATAATTTGTTATTTTATTTCACTAGGACTTCTCTCAAGGACTAGTATTTGATCTTTGGAACAAGAGAATGTCATATTTACATAAGCAAATAATTGCAACCGATAACAACTGAGTGTTTCTTCTTCTGTGAAGAATCAATGGACTTTGAAATCACTAAATAAGGAGTAGCTTGTTTTATCCTAGCCATTTGATGTAATACAAATGTTCTTGTTTTGTTTTCTTTGAGCCTTCAGAGTTTTAAATGACCCTCAGGACTCATTAGCTCCTACTTAGCTGCCCAGAAAACTGTAATAGAAATATCCCTTCTATCACATTTGTCCAAGAAGCTTTGGTGCTTAGTTAAGGTGCATTTTCTTATTCTAGGCCTATAGGATGACATAATTCAACTGAAGAAAACACACACACATTTTTGGTGCTTATTCTTCAGTTGGAGGAAGATATGCATTGATTCTTTTATATGAAATTAAACAAAACTATTATTTTTGTAGCTCTTTACATATTATAAAGAGCTTTGCTGTACATTCACATTCAGCTTTAATTTGCCCAACAATCCTATGAAGTTGATATAACTAATATCATTCCTGTTCTAAAGTTAGAGAACCAAGGTTCAGAAATACAGAGAACTGTGTTTGTGACACGTAGCAAGGAAACAATGGAGCCCAGGTCCCCTGACTCCCAATCTCATGGTCTTTCTCTAAATCTTATGTCATGCTGATGAGATTCAGAAGGCCCGTGGTTATAATTTAATGATGAGCATATTTCAGTATTTTTGTTTGTTTCCTAGTATTCCTTTTTGAGCTAAAGTTTTAGGGAAAACAATTTGATATGCTTCGATTTTGTAAAAAAGGAAAAACTATATATATATATATATATATATAAGTATACCTATCTGTATTAGAGAAAAACTGTTCTTATTTATTTCTGTAAGATATCATTAATTAAATAAATATTTTAGTGGAAATTGAAATTTGGGGATTTATTAATTTCTGAGCCATACGACATACAGTATATTTTCTTGTTTTTTGTTTTGGTCTCTCAACAAAAGGTGTCACAATTGTTTATACTATAGAATTCTATATTTTATAGACATTTATTATTTCTTCAAAAGAGTTGTGGCAGTTCTTCCAGACAGTTGTTCAAAACAAATACAGGTCTAATCCCCACATCTTGGCTGCAAAGGACTTTCTTGTTTCCTTCTTCCATCATTTTATATTTTCTGAACTATCATTGTGCTCACAAATAGTTGTTCCGAAGTAGGTGCTGTACTAATGAACCTGTGAGAAAAAATGAGATCATGCCAGTCCTTAAAGAGCTTAAATGTTTTGGGCTCTGGGGAAGCATTCTCTGTTACATGAATCCAAGTGAGCTTATTAGGACTGAAAATATGGGGTATGTACAATGTAAAACACATGTGCCGAATTCCATAATCCTTTGCCTCAAACCCAGATAGCTTCCCTGTTTATTGCAGCTTCAACTTTTCTCTTGGTATGTGATTGCTGCAGAATGATCCATGTGTTTGGTTTTTTAGGGATTCCTTCTTTTCATGTCATATTAATAACAATAAACTAAGAACGATCGACATTTGATAATTGAACATGTAACCACAAATGCTTTACGAATAATTATCAAACTCACAGTACTCATCAAAATATTTAGGAATGGAATTGAGCAATGCATGGTTAGTCATCAACTTAAGCTGCCCTTTCAAGTGGACAAAGGAACAAATAAGTCTTTTGAATATTCTGCTCTCATTTACTAGATATAGTACATTAAAGATTTAGTGTGGGGGCACCTGGGTGGCTCAGTCATTAAGCGTCTGCCTTCGGCTCAGGTCATGATCCCCGGGTCCTGGGATCGAACCCCGCATCAGGCTCCCTGCTCAGCGGGAAGCCTGCTTCTCCCTCTCCCACTCCCCCTGCTTGTGTTCCTGCTCTCACTGTCTCTCTCTCTGTCAAATAAATAAAGTCTTTAAAAATAAAAAATAAAGATTTAATGTGCTTGAATTCTTTATTAAGCTACAGAATAGCCTTTTTGAAATGGAAAAATCACCTATGCTAAATGACCTCAGGCTTAGTTAAATTAAATAAAAAGTATCTTTCAGGGGCACCTGGCAGGCTCAGTGGGTAGAGCATGTGAGTCCTAATCTTAGGGTCGTGAGTTTGAGCCCCATGTTGTGCATGGAGCCTACTTAAAAAAGTATCTTTCAGTTTTTCTAGAATTTAAATAAAATCCCCCCAATAACATGTCATTTCATAATTTTTAACTGGCATGCCAATATAAAAATGAAATGCCATTAAAACAGTACAGTATAAGCAATGTACTTTGAGCCTGTCTACTCTGGTAAAGGAAATCTAATCTTTAATAATATTTCTTCAAAGTGGAACCAATTAACTATATTTTATAAAATTTATGAGGATCTCCATGTAGCTCTGTTACATTGTGAAGCCCACAAGAATGTTACCACATTAAGGGCTGAATATGAACCACTTGAAAGCCTTCCTTTAGAGGAGGAGTTTGCAGGTAATTGATAATCCCAAGGAGAACTCCTAGTCTCGTGATAGGTATGCAGTGTTGCATCTGAATTCTAGAACACGCCGTATCACATGCAGAAAATAACACAAGAACTTAAGTCTTCCCTTGCCTCCAGCCAGCCTTTCAGGGACACACATCCCTTGTCTTTGAAGGTCCCACACCATCCCTTGGATCCTATTCATTATTTAGGATCAGTGACTTAAGACTTTTGTTTGTTGAAACTGACCTTTGTTACATTGAAACAATCCTTTGTACTGCAGCTTATATATGCAACTTCTTTTTCTTGCAAACTAGAAATGAAATTTAGCCTCCTTTATCTGTGTGATCCTTTGTATAGGAGTCTATTGTTATTAAATTGTTCAGTAACTTTTTCTTCCTATCAAATAACCCATCCCTTCAGTCTTTTCTTAAGAGTCTTCCTCCAAAGCCCTTTGGTATCTTTGTCTCCTGGAAACCTGTTCTTATTTATGCTCCACACCCCTGATACCAAGGACCAATTTTGTATGTGTGAGATCTTTTCAGATCTGTGATTTGTATCCTAGCACCGTTCTGATTATTGACCCCTTCAGTGCCTTATAGAGCAAATATTTGTGCCCAAATTTCCTTAGAAATCTAGTTTCTCCTCACTTTATTAATAATTTATTTAGAGGACGTCTGTGGAGATTACCTGTGTTTAGCTTCTTTGAAGACCATTGAGTTTAAATTTACCACATCCCTAATTCTGTATTCAGAACTACAAAGGGACGTTATGCCCCTTCTGTTGCCCAGCTTCCTATCATCAAATGAGTGCTACATCCAGTTATTTTTTTCAGACTCTTCATAAAAACTTCCATTGACTAAGATGAGAACATTATTGCCTGTTGATTATGTTGAAAATATTTTCCTTTGGCTGTCACGAAAAGATGTCTTTGGTAAATGCAAACCTATGTTTAAGAAGAGAATGTATTTTAGTGCCTGATCTGGCTTTATTGTATCAGAATGTCAGTGATTAGTTATTAAACTATTAAGCATCATTGTGTAATGTTGTATTTATTTAAAACTTCCTCAGTGCTTCTCACTTTTTTTTTTTAAGTCTATAATTGATAATCAGGTTACTGCTTTTATTTTGCAGGTGACCATTCTACCCTGCTTCCCACATCACATGATGGCTTACCAGCATGATATGGTACAAATAAATACATAGCACTTATATCTTCCTATTAAGTTGCTAAGGACAACTCGGGTAAGCAGACATCTAATTTATGCAGTAAGTTCTTTTAAAGGGATGATTATTTTTACTCATAATCTTTCTCTGTGCATATGGCAAAAGATTAGCAAGTTTCATTCTTAAATGGTTTTGGTCTTTCAAGCATTAAGATAAAGATCTTTACTAAATAAACCACTTTTTAATTCTTTCTTCCTTTCTTCCACTGTTCCTTCCTTTCTTCCTATCTGTTCTGTTCTTCCTCAGTTTTGAGACTGTATGTCTCTGTATCAGAAAAGTAGTTTATACCTAAAAAGGGTACTTATCAGACCCCTACCTAAACACTCCTAACCTGGAGTCAGTGGGCTCCTGGGGGCGTGGAGGTTGGGGAAGAGGCTCCTCGGGTGAGATTTAGAGGGCAACCCCCCCGCCCCCACCACCACCACCAAATTGTATACGGTCTGCAGCTCCCTGGAGAGAGTACAGCCCAAACTAATGACACGACCCATATAAACAAAAGCCCTAAGGCTTCCCTCAGTAATTTTGATACATATGCAGGTCCTGAGACCAAAAAGTTTGAGAACAGCTACAATAGCCTATTTTTGAAGTATCTTCAGTTAGATACTTATTTGTTCATTAAGATCAAGGGAGAGAATGGCAAAATTTTTCTAGCCTTGCTTGTAAGTTTGCTCTATGTACTTTGCTATATGCTGTATGTATTTTTGCTGATCACAGTCAGAAGTTTATGGTAAAAAACCTACCCACACAGCAGCAGCAGTATATGTAAGTTTGGTGGACTTGAATATAACAAGGAGTTCCATTTAATTTTGCATCATGCACTGTTTAAAAGAAATGGTTGAGTTGCATATAGCAGCTTACTTTTTAAACCAAAAGCTCTCTCCATATGAATATAAAATGAAACAGTGATATGCCTCCTGTGACTACAGATAATTCTCACCTGCCCCATCTTGGGGCAGCCTGCCCTTGGCCCCTACACCAGACAAAATCATAGGTGGTTTTCCTCTCCAGTTGGAAGCAAATTCAACCTTAAAAAGCACTGATATTCAACAATAAAAAGACAACCAATTTAAAAGTGGGCAAAGGATTTGTGTGTTTTTTGATAAACATTTTTATTTCAAAATGAAGACATTGAAAGCATAAGAAATCTAAAAGTTCTATAAAATTACTTCAAAAATATCTCGTGTATTTTGTATTGCCACAATATAGCGACACCAAATGTCTGGCCTCAAAAGTGATTTATCAGGTAGTCAGTACAAATAGTAGCATTTTAACTTTACAGGGTTCTCCCCCAGCTTTAGCAAGAGGAATAATTGACAAATATAATCGTATATCTACTGTAAGCGTACAATTTGATATACATACACACTGTAAAATGATTACCAAGATAATTAACACCCCATCACCTCTCATACTTAATCATCTTTTTGAATGTGTGCTAAGAAAGCTTAAGATCAAGTTACAAGTATATAATACTGTATTGTTAACTATAGTCATCATTCTGTACTTTAGAGTCTCAGAACTGACCTTATAACTGAAAGTTTGTACCTATATCTCCCTTCCCTGCAAACAAAGGCATATAAGTGGCCAATAAGCACATGAAAAGACAGGTCATGATCCCAGGGTCCTGGGACTGAGTCCCACATCAGACTCCTTGCTCAGCGGGGAGCCTGCTTCTCCCTGCTGCCTGCTCTGCCTGCCACTCCCCCTGCTTGTGCTCTCTCTCTGACAAGTAAATAAATCCAAAGGAAGGAAGGGAGGAAGGGAGGGAGGGAGGCAGAAGGAGGAAGGAAGGAAGGAAGGAAGGAAGAAAAAGAAAGAAAGGAAGGAAGAAAGAAGGAAGGAAGGAAGGAGAAAAAGGAAGGAGAAAAAAAGGAAGGAAGAAAGGAAGAAAGAAGAAGGAAGGAAGAAAAAGGAAAGAAAGAAGGAAGGAAGAAAAGGAAAATAAAGAAAGGAAAGAGAAAAGATGATTAACAGTATTAGGGAAAAGGCGAATCAAATGCAAATCAAAACCATAATGGGTTGCAGGAGGGGAAGAGAAGGATGAACAAGCAGGGCCCAGAGGATTCGCAGGGCCGTGAAACTATTCTGTGATACTACAGTGGTGGCTATGTTCCTATACATATGTATACCCATAGAGTGCATCACACCGAGAGTGAACCCTAAGTGAAATAAATCAAACTGAGAAAGACAAATATATTGAAGCAGGGGAACTGAAGGGACCCCATG